TCTACTCGATCGAAATAAGTCACGCAACTTTATCGCTCTATCGAATCTATAGAAATATAGAAAAAAGTTGTATTTCCAGCCGAGAAAATAATTTTTTGATTCTCTATTTAATATTCCATAGAATACGAATAACTGAAAACACTATGAATGGAAAAAAAAAGAAAAAAAAGAAAAAAAGAAAAATTGCGCAAATTATTTGCAAGTTATTCGAGAATGTTTGATGGTTCGGAAAACGATTGCTCCAAAGTGTAATAAAACAAGAAATAAATTTGAAATCGTTAGAACTTGAAGGAGTTTAACGATATGGTCGAGGTTTGGAAAGATCGCGAAGATGATGGCGGAAAAGGGGAAGGAAAGGCAAAAATCCTTGGAGGATCGTAGATAGCAGGGATGTAACGTGGCTTTTGTCCGACAGTGACGTATACGAACTGCGCCACGGCGACCAGAACCTAAATTGTTTCGAAGTAAATAGCGCACGAGTGGCTGGTGGCCGGCAAATTGCATCCACGCCACTTTAGAACGATATCCTCCATCCCTCTACTTCCCCTTTGTTACAACCGCCATTCCCTAACCCTTCCACAATTTGTTTGGCAACGAATGACCGCAGTTGCGACGCGAACGCGTTCAAAACGCGTAGTATTTTTACGCGTTGCACGAGCAACGAATGGCTCGTGGCCATTTTATTTCCCGCCCGCTAATTGGAAGAGAAAGGTTATTTCGACCGAGCGTAACGCTCGTCGGCCACGATTAAACAAAAGTAGCACGATGTATTAAACGCGTAGGTAAGAGATATTCCCCTCGTTGGCGGAAGATTCGATTTTTACGAGTTCCCTAGTATTTTATTCGCATGATTGCTGGCCAGGGCCAAGACGCAATTGCGCCGCATCCTCGCTATAAACGAATAGGACACTCTTTACCACGCTCAACGGCGACACTTATGATTTACGCGTAATACGTCGCTACCATTTACATCCTCGTTGAGAGTAATTTGTATGGAAAGCTGCAGCGATACAGCAGTGCGGTGGGAGTGCAGGTGCGAGATGCTTACCGCCGCTCCAACGTCGCATCAAATATGTATCACGACCGAACTGATATCAGTCCTGAGAAATACCCATAATTAAAACCCAAACGTATTAAAATTACGCCAAATCGAAAGGAAGAAAATTGTCGATTTTATTATTGACGGAATCACTATTCAATCTCTGTTTCACTCTGCCTATTACGAATTCCCTTATACTGCTGTGATACGAAAAGTGAAAGAAATTTTAAACGCTTTAACACACTTTCCTCTGTTTGTAAAGATTCTTTATCCCAAAATAATTAATACTATTATTTTCTTCGAGTTCTTACTTATTATTGCATACGTATGAATACGAAATTAACGCAACCGATCAACGATCCGCGTCGATTATATGATATCTCGTTCGAGTATCTTAATATCCACGAACGCGGATGCGTATCAGCATATGAACGAAAGCAAAATTTTCTTACTGGAAAGATTCCGGGATCGATTACTAAACGCACGAACAACTTCGACCAAGCTACCTCAAATAAGACCACGGAGAGGAGGCCGGAATTAAATGATACGAAAGGGATTAAATTATCCGCAATTCCCTAAACTATTAATCTGATCTACAGAATAGCGATGCAACAACAACACGCGAACAAAATTAACGTAGCTATAATTGCAACAACACACAGGATACGCCTGAGTTATGATAAACGAACAGACTGCGTGGTGTTCTCACACACAAATGAACCATGAATCTGTACTCGGTATCGCGATGCCTCCTTTAACCGGAATCCAGAGAGAGAGAGAGTCTGTAGTAGCGGAGTAACTAAATAGGTGTATTGTCATTGGACGCTCGAGCACAAAGCAAAAGGGAACATCTATGGGAGCGTGGTGGCGCGACAGGTGAGAGACACTCGAAATTAATTCAACGATCCTTCGAAATTAACATACCGCGAAATCACTTCCATCGGCTCTTCCGTTTCATTGCGAGAATCGTAGTTGCGAAGATAACGAGAGAGAGAGAGAGAGAGAGAGAGAGAGAGATGTTGGAACAATTTACAAAGGTCGATCGATCGAGTGGAGCGCAATTTAGCGAGAGGCGAGGGCACGATAAGACTAATGGCAATAATTCCTGATTACCGTATCGAGTGCAACCACTCGGTTAAGGAGCGTTGTTAACCGAGGCCGGTGCTGTTTAACCCGCGGCTGGAATAGTGTTGCTTCGGTCATAGCAGTTGTAATAAAGTTGCCAAGTTATTCGCAAGTTCCCGCGACTTTGTAGTAGAAAACACGTGAGAAAGTCGAAGCTCTTAAATTCGCTTCACCCTCGAGAAAAACTTCTTGCCGATTCCTCGTTTGCCTCGGCTTTGTCGCGGCTGCCTATCTATCCTAGGAACGTTTAAAAATAGGGTTTATCATCGTTACTCACGCTCTGTGTAAAATTCTGTACGACGTTGTTTGAAAGCTGTTTTGCACGGGAATACTTGTTTTGAATTGCAAAAGCATGATATAAATCATTCGATCTCTCTCGAATTCAAGATAGAAAACAACACGTGGAATATTTTCGGGGAATTGTTTTCTTTGGAGAAAATGTTTGAAAATTTTATTATTAGATTTTTTTTTTATACGTATATTATTTTTATAAAAAATAAGAGCTATGAAAGATGAATATAAAAGAATTCGAGGACGATAAATATAAGAAATGATGAAACGTCGAATTAATTCGATGTGACATAAAAATTGGCCAAAAAGGAACCATCTTTGGCAAAATTATTGGAATCCGTCCAGATTAACTATTTCGTTGGCTCGATTCGAAACTTTTAAAACTTCCATACCAGTATTGTATGCAGATCCTCCCTAACTTTGGTAAGAATTATTAGTTACCAAATTGAATTCCTTATATCACGTAAAAGGAATAGAAAAAAAAGAATTCATAAAAGTTTTTCCATAGCAACGATGCTCGTTAATTTGTGTAAAGAAAAACCGTAGTCTCGTTTATGATGTTCATAAGGAAAGGAGAAGATAAATATTCATGAAGACGTACATCAAGGAAGCATCCAATTGCGTCTACTACAAGCGTTCGTTTCGTATGTATTTAACTTAACGACCCAGTTCGCTCCAACTCCATTTCCTACAAATTAACATTATGAAATCGAAAATGCGTTAAACTAAAAAAAGTTTTCACGTTAAAAGAGTTATTATAAATTGTTGTCAATAACATAAACTTCGACGTGCAATTATTCGTTCAACATTTTTTTTAATTCGCTGGCGGATATTCATATTTTTGATAAATGAACACCGAAGACAATGGTGAAAAAGCAACGAAAATAGTGCATGCTGATGATGACATTTGTATTTAACTCGTATGCAAGTACGTAGAAAACTCTTTTTCATCTTTCGCATTTTTTAAAATAGTTTATGAGGCCACCATACCCGCCACGAATTAGAAAATCCGCAAGACACATTCGCATCACTCGTACGAATGCGTTAAAATTCTAATAAAATTTGAACTCGAATTATGCTTGGAAAATACACGGTGAAATCAATAAGCATCGTAGAACAATTTAAGATCAGGAATATTCTGAATCATGGTGTCGGACAAAAAAGAATAGAGAAGCTGAGAACACGAAAGTGGAAAAATAGAAAGAAAATTTATCGATTCTTTGAACGAATAAAGGCGAGAGAATCTCTGCTGACTTGGCAAATCATCATTCTTCCAATGACATATCGTTCCGCGTAGAAAAGAGATCTTTGACACCGATTGTTATGACGATTACAGGAAACTGAACCATATCGAAAACTGAATTGGAAATGTTCCGTGTTACATTTTCTAGTTCCCTTTTTACGATCTTATTCGTTTCTATAACCGAGAGAACTTTCGTATGATGTTTCCCTTGTCACAGACGAGACCGTACTAACGTTGAAATCAAGGTTATGCGTCTTACTTTCGTCGACTTGTACAATATATATATTTATTTATATATTCGAGCACGATTCGTGAGGATAATAAGAGACTATCCCCTCTCCCTTTTCTCGTCTTTCCAATGTAAATATGTTCTCTGTGACGAATAATAAGGAAAAAACTTTGCGTATTTCGATCAATCTAATTTTCTAGATTTAAAAATATAATTCTTCTTAACATTAAAAATATTTTCCATATATTAATAACTTTTAAATAATTTTTATCGTAAAGCTAAAGTATTTTGGACTTGCTAATGGAAAAAAAATGTAAAATAATCAAAAAGAAAGAAATAGTAAAAATAAATAATTACAATTGAAATGATATAAAAGAATGTTAACGAATCTCTGATTCACATTTATATAAAAATATTCGATGAATTTGAAATTTTATATATATGTATAATGGGAAACTCGCGTTAAAAAAAATGATAATGCGAACAAGTGCGATGACCAAACGCATTTCTGATTTGCGTATGCCGCATGAAGAAGTGTAAAGCCGCACGATGCGACTGCAGTCGAATTTAATAGCGCCATTTCTCATACAGTGCTATCGTTCCAATCGTTGTACTCGCTATACACACACACATACTCACACACATACTCATACATATATGGAAACGCGACTTGCATAACACACGTACGAGGAGACTTGTAAATGTGTGAATCTACTGCAATGGAGAGCACAATGCGGCTTGACCGGTTACCAACATTACCAACCAGTGCTTTTCTTCACTCGTAAAGCTCAGCCAACGGGCAAACATCACAAACCCTTCCAAGACTTTACTTTTCTACGATTTTACTATCTCTCGAGTTAACATTTGCATGATCTCTAACATAGAATATTTGAATATTTCCAGACTTTTTTTACGTACATTATAACTACTAAAATGTGTGCTACGCTTATAAAGTTGTTTCTAAAAACTCGTATACCATTTTTCACCCTGTTATACAATCCTCCGTCAAATTTAACTCTCTCTTTCGCGGGTTACCTACGTGCGTGATAAATGATTTATAATGCATTTCCTACCTGCGTGTTTTCGTGCGGTACGTGGCGCAAAATCTGTGATGATTTCCACCTTGTTGCACCCCACGAACTGGTCACACTCACCTATCAAGCACAAGACAAAGAAAACGTTATTGTCTTAATTCGTTGTAACAGGGGCGATCTAAAGGATTTTTAAAACTCTAAGTAATTCGATAAAATTTTGTTGCAATGTTACACGCTGACTTCGAAGCGCAGCTGTTTCAGTAGTCGGTGCTCGAATATAGCGCGACGCCAAGTTTCTCGCCGAACAATTAGTGGTTTTATCACCTCGCAGCGTGATATAACCGCGTCCATCTCCCTCTTCCATCTCGCTTTCTATATTCTGATCTTTATAGATTACAATTCCCGTCGAAAACCAGCGCGCGATCCATCAGCGTGAAAATAAACCAAGGATCAACCAAGTCTCGATCAAGCGCATCTCGAATACACGCAATAACTGAATCAATGAGGAATCGAGATAAAATCGAGAAAATAACAATTGAAAATTTCTATAAAACGTTCATCTTTCTCGATAATTGTCGAGTAATCTCTAGCATTCTAGAATAATTATTAATTATGAATTCTTTCTAATTTATGTATTTAAATTTTTCTCGGAAGATTCTTAAGATTCGTATTTTTTTTTAAGTATTTTTTAGATTCCAATTAATCGCAAGAGATTCTAGCAAATTTCATAAAAAATATTTGAGTACCGATATAATTCGAGGAAAGGAATTCTCACAGGACACCGGAGGAAATTAAGGCGAAATTTCGCGACATAAGTTATTAAGAGTGCAATATCAGCGACACAAAGGAACCAACGATCCTCTTACAACGTCGAAATAACTTTATTCCTGACCTATTTTCATCGTTTATGAGGTTGCACGAAGTGAACCCATCGAACGATGGCGTCAAAGGAAAACGACGTTATATCCGGGCGAGAGGTAATGAGATCTCTCTCGCCGATTGTTCCACGAATGGACGATTGGGAATCAGAAAAGGCATCACGACCAGCTGCTACCATACTTCATCTATGATTGTATTCGTTTTATAGTATATTTATTCTCGTTCCAAACTAAATCGAAATCAATTCTCAATTTCGTCCATCGATAAAAAAAAAAGGAATAAATTCTTTAAATTTTTGTAAATAAATAAGTACGTCGTTGTTCAACTTATGAATGATTTTAACAATTCATAAAACACGAAGTATTTTGTTACATCCTTGACCTATTTTAAGATACTTCAACAAGACATTTAAGCAAGAATTTATCTTCGACGTTACCTGCATACCGGAGAAGCATAATTAAGCCAATTTCCTCGAAGATGGAATTGAATCGTGAGAACATTTCGCAGTAGAGATGCGTATAAAATATTATCTCTGTCCTTTCAAAAGAATTATCATATTTATATTCATATGATTATATTATATCTCTAAAGAATATCTATTTTTGAAAATAATATAATTTTTAATCCATTTAAAATATTAAAAATATATCTACGAATATTTTAAATATATTTATTAAATATTGTTTTCCACGCAAAGAATTAGAATCAACAAGAGGGGATTACGGATTCTCATTTACATAAATAACATTATGTCGGACTGAAAAAAAACGTCAAAGAAGAAACTTCTCGCTAACTTCGAATCCAGAAATTATTTCGACGTTTACCGAACCACGGTGCTTCACAAAATTTGCACAAAAGTCACACAGAAAAACGAAGAGGGAATTGGCCGAGGAATCAGCCGCCTGAAACCTCGAAACTCTCGAAATTTATCCGCCCTTTCAAACGAATATCCAATGGACAAATGTATTTCGATTTCTACGATCGAAATCGTCTTAAACGATATCATTCGCGTTTTCACAAATGCATCGAGGATCGGATATTCTCATATTTATGAGATTTTTACAAGTGTGCAAAAATCGTAGTTATAATTCGATTTAAAAAAGAGTAATTAAATTACTCCTATAATATCGAGCCTATAATATTTTTGCTGTAAAAAAAATAATCGCAAAAATGGGACATCGATTGAACGTTCGCGTTTTCCGCGAAGGAGAAAAGAGGACGAAACGAAGGGAGGCGGGGAAAAACGCGCGTTTCCGCGAACGCATCCATGCCTTTGGAGAGAAATATTTTTGTACCCAGCCCGTTAACCCTGGAGCGGTATTAAACCCGTCGATGCGAAGACGCGGAACAGGGAAGGTTGGTGAACAAGGGCTTTGCCGGCTTTGACGACAAAAATTCACCGCTGTAATAAAGAGGAGAGAAACATTCACCGCCGGTTCAAAATCAGCTCGAAAATGGCGGGTTCGTGGGCAAAGAAGAAAATCGACTATGAGGATACAAGTTCGATGGACACCTTACGTGCCTAATTACTGGACGTTGCTTAATACAAAGCGGTCACTCGGCTTGGAAAATAGTAAAGGCTGACCGTAAAAGACGATAACGAAGAACCGTTTGAAAAAGATAGGGTAAAATAATAGTAAAAAAAAAAAGAAAAAAAGAAAAGAAAAATGAGAAAGAGGGAGAGAGAAAAGAGGAAGCTGCTCGTACGAAACGTATTCACGCTAACGTATCCCATCGGATTGAAGGAAGAATTTTTAATCAGAACGAATTTTTTAGACTGCTATTTGTCTGTCGATTGTTCCCCATCCGTGGCACGTAAACCGTGTCTTTTTTTTCTCTCTCTCTCTCTCTTTTTTTCAAAAACGAGGATTATACACGGGAGGAACAATGAATTTTCCGTACTCGAGAAAGAAAATAATAGAACGAAACGATACTTTGTTTCTCGAATTGTTCTAATAGAACGATTCTATCGTGAATGGTATTACAAATATCGTTTCGAATATCTGGAACAATTAACAAGCTAATTAATAATGCAAATATTTGATTGAACCCGTATCACACTGCTGAAATATTCATTTCATCTGCGAGAAGAGGTTTGATATTTGGATTAAAAACTCCTAACTAAATCCATCCTCAAAGGGGAGAACGTAGAAAATCTGGGATAACGGCAAAGTCATCGTTGTTGCAAATAGTTTCATTATCCTAACAGGAGCAACGTTAACTCTCGAGTGAGAGGATTGGTAAATCTCTATTGTTTCCCGTGCAACGCGAGGACAGGACAAAGACAAGAATATCCGAGTACATATGCATTTACAAGGATAAAAGATAAATCGTTTGAGAGAAGGTCGCCAAGTTTGAAAGTGGCGCTCTCTATGCGGAAATGTATTTACGCCAGAAAACCAGAACCGAGGAAATCGAAAAAAAAGAGAGAGAGGACACTGGAAGGGAAGCGGAAGCCCCTCCTCCCCGAACTACGATCAAAGGAGGACGAGATGGAGGAGGATTCGACAGAAGAAAAAAGGAGCGCAAGAATGACGAAACAGATCGATGAGACGATGAAATAGTCCATCGTTCGCTTAACGGGGAGAGAGAGAGAGAGAAAGAGAGAGAAATAGAGAAAAGGTGGTTAGGTCGTACGTATACCTAAAGCACAACTTTTTACCCTCCTTTCCGGCCCTTAGACGGTAAAGCACGAGTGGCTAGCTGCCGGCGTTACTTCATTATCCGGGGAAAGAAAAACCGTCCACAACTGTAAAGTGAATCGCATCTCTCTAATTAAATTTTTGTTATCAACGAACGAGCCGCTCGTTTACACCATGCCCGACTGGTCGACAAACAAATGTAACTTTCAACCGTTGTTTGGATTGCCCTGGGAGTATGCCCGCAGCTTCTAACGACTCGTCCAATGAAACTAGTTTCTTGATAATCGAGAACAAAGAAGAATGAAACATTCTGCGGAACATTGTAACGATCCTTTTTTTTTTTTTAAAAATTCGCTAAAACGCGAGATCTCTTAGAGAGAGAGAGAAAAAAGAAAACTATGATCTCAGTCGTAATGTTATAATTTCATTCCCAGACAGAAGAATGAATAAATAAATTTGAATTGTCGGTGAAATCGATCGTGAAATGTGTGCGAATTGAATATACTGTTTTAGATACAGTTAATGTAGAAATGCAGAAACTTTCAGACAGTAATATTTGTAAAGTCTTGTTTTCTTTTCTTGAAAATAGTTTAACTAAATTGTATAGAGGAAACTTTGAAAACTTGGATAGGACGAACATTTATAAGACTGGAGGAAGTAAAGAAACTCGTTAAAGGATGTCTGGAGATCATAAATCCCATAAAAATATAGAGCGATAAACCACCTTATTCTTGGATCTGCTCTAATATAAATTATTCCCGTAATTCTTGTATCTTGAAATTGAATATTTAAAGAGCGTATATAATTCGAGCATCTAATTAAAATTGAACGATTAAACAATTCTCCATTTTGTATTAAAATCCGTAATAATTCACAGGGATAAATTTTAATTTTCAACCTTCAATTGTAAATCATTGTAAATTATTAAAATGCACATATGCATAATTGTTATCCATAAGAAGTGCAGAAATATTTCCTTGAAAAACAATGAGCCAAAGGTATTCACTGGTGGAATGTCGCATTTCAGAAAATGTGGCGCAAGGTTATGCCATCGTTTGCCAACTATGTATGCGCTTATTAATCGCTTTAACGACAGGAACAGTGGCTCTAGGCAAGGGATCGAGCGAGCAAGGAACTCGCCCTCTCTCGTTTATTCATCGTGCAACTAACATCACCGGGCGCGAATTTAAATTGGTCTACTAATTTTCTGCTTTGGTGCTTGTCCGTGACACAATAATCGTCGAATTGGGTGCGAATCACCGCGGGCCAAGAGGGAAGACAGTGACAAATGGAGGTTGGTTAAAAGAGGTGGACGAGAGAAAGAGGCCGCATCTTGCCACTCGAGTTTATTTCTGAACGCTGTGAGGACGACGTCACACGGTAACCAGAATAGCGGGCATCTACGTCACGTCTGGGTGGTCGCGAGCAAATTTTGAAGGTAGACACACGCACAAGTGGCGAGGACGGAAAGGCAGAGAGAGAAAAGGAGCTTCGATGAACGAGCATGGAAGATGAACACGGTCCAACCTGGCTGGTGGAAAAAGCCACGAAGAAGAGAGAAGAAGGTAGTAGAAGGAAAGATGAATGAAAGGAATGCGA